TCTATTTGCAGTTGGGAGAACCTGGAAGATGCCTTCCTTGAAAACTTCCAAGGCACTTATGTACGACCTCCGGACGCTGATGACTTAAGTCATATAATCCAACAGCCCGGAGAGCCAGCCAGGAAATTCTGGACTAGGTTCTTAATTAAAAAGAACTAGATCATTGACTGTCCGGATGCCGAAGCCTTAGCGGCCTTCAAACACAACATCCGTGACAAATGGCTCGCTCGACACCTCGGCCAAGAAAAGCCGAAGTCCATGGCAGCCACTACGACGCTTATGACCCGCTTTTGTGCAAGCGAAGATAGCTGGCTAGCTCTTAGCAGCAACAACTCAAATAAACCTAGCACTTCTGAAGCCATAGATAGCAACGGCAAACCCCGACGCAGCAGACACAAGCGTTGAAACAATGTCGATAACACCGAAGACACGGATGTCAACGCCGGATTCAGTGGCTCTAAGTCTGGTCAGCGGAAGAAGCCATTTAAGACAAACAATCCGGGCACGTCCAGTTTGGACCACATACTCCGTCGTCCTTGTCAAATCCACAGCACCCTCGATAAACCAACCAATCATACCAACAAAGAATGTTGGATTTTCAAACAGGCCAGCAAGTTAAATGCCGAAAACAAGGAGAAGGGGTCGCAAAGCGACGACGATGACTAGGACTCCCGGCCACCGAACACAGGGGGACAGAAGAAGTTTCTTGCACAAATCAAAACGGTGAACATGATATACGCTACCCATATTCCCAAGAGGGAGCGGAAGCGCACACTCAAGGACGTCTATGCGATGGAGCCAGCTGCCCCAAAGTACAACTCATGGCCGTCCTGTCCGATCACCTTTGATCGTAGGGACCACCCGACCAGTATCCATCATGGCAGTTCAGCCGCACTAGTCCTTGACCCAATGATTGACGGATTCCACCATACGCGAGTCCTCATGGACGGCGGTAGCAACCTGAACTTACTCTATGAGGACACAGTGCACAAAATGGGTATCGATCCTTCAAGGATCAAGCCCACAAAAACCACCTTTAAAGGTGTCATACCAGGTGTAGAGGCCCGCATGGGCTCAATCACACTGGAAGTGGTCTTCGGATCCCCAGATAATTTCTGAAGCGAAGAATTGATCTTTGACATCGTCCCCTTCCACAACTGCTATCACGCACTGCTCCACTACAAGAAATATGTCAACTTGTGACCTTGACTATTAGTCATTGAAAGGTCATTGTTTTTCATTTGCGACCTTTTTGTGACCAAAAGCAGAAGGTCAAAAGCTGGCGGTCGTAAACTGAAATTAACGAACTTCTCTGTGACAAGGCCGTAGACGTTCACGACCAAAACAGAAGGTCGTTGAACCCATGACCTTTTGTTTTGGTCACTGACTTTTTGCCCAGGCCATGTCGGATCCGACGTGGAAAAATTGTGACTAATTCAAAAGGTCGTTACTTAGAATCAGCCCGGTCCATTTCGATGCTTTAGATGGGCTGAGCCCATCAATTCAGCCATTTTAATATATTTTTCTGTCAATTCTTGTGGGCTACTTGGGCCAAGCCTAGTATCAGCTTCTTTGTTTTTGGTCCTTGGCCTTCTTACAATCAATTGATTTTCTATTTTCAGTCATTATATTCTGGAGCTGGTCCCACTAGTCAGAAGGGTCCCACAAGTCATATGCTATACATGAGTCCCACATGTCACAAATTTCAAAATTGCTCAGATTATATTCATAAGTGGGTCCCACTGGTGAAGTTTCCATATATTCTCAACATACATAACTATTATTTCAAATAGGAGAGAACAAACATAGTTCATCAAATAACACTACATTAGCCTTTTACAATCCGTTACAATATTACAATTTACAGTCTACTACAGAGCCAAAAGAACTCTTTGCAAAGTACGGCTTCACTGCTTCGCACTTGGCTTCACGGATTCACACTAAAAAAATTAGGACTGGAGCTCCTGTAAAAGAGTGAATATAAAGGAAAAAAATTAGGCTTGGAGCTCCTGAAAAGGAGTGAATGCATAAAGGAAAACAAGTAAGAAAAGTATATAGGAAAACACGTAGAGTGTATTGAGCATATATATGTTGTCCCTGGAAGGCGAACACATACAACAGCAAGAACATCAGGAAAATTATCCAAGAATAAAGCATGGAAGCAGATTAACTATATGGAACAAAAACTGAATCATTGCAGATCAGATTACACAAGAACATAATGTAGAAGCAGATCATATGGAAGCAAAACCAAATCATTACAGAGAACATAATAATACAAGAAGAGAAAGAAGCAACTATACAGGCCAAAACTGGACAAACCAAAAACAACAGCACAACGGGAGAACTAGCCCTGTTTGCATCATGTTGACCAGCACAACCAGCCATATACGCATTGCAAACAAAGAACACTCGACATCCAACATCTGAAGACATTGCAATGATTTCTAAGCACATCTAGCATACTAGTTTCCGCCAAGAGCATAAGCAAGCATAATACAATATCAATTGCATCACATCAACCAAATTATTCAGGGAGCACAATATGCACATGAACAAAGACATGTTCTGGGTCCTGTTTGATTCACCTAGTTGATGAGGGCGGCAGAGCGGGAGACGAGCTCGATGTCGTTGCCATCGAGGATGATCTCATCCTTGACCTTCTCGGACTGCATCTCCGCCAGATGCAGCAGCAACGCCTTCGACAACCACAACAGTAGCACCAATAATGACCTGTGTGCCATTTCATATCATCATTACAGAATAAAAAAATTAAGACAAAGGCAACAAATATAGCTTCAGCATTACGGAATTATCATGTAACTGTTGAGCAGACAGGAATATAGCTTCAGCATTATAGAATTATCATGTAACTGTTGAGCAGATAGGAATATAGCTTCAGCATTATAGAATTATCATGTAACTGTTGACTGTGAAGCTGTCAAGCAGAAACCTGATTGTAAACTATGGACTATGAGATGTCACAGCCGATCCAGTGGACCGTGAGATGTCAAGCAGAGCAACATCTACTAGAGCAACAGCTCCATGGACTAAAATAAATGCCACAAGGATCATGAGAAAGAGCTAAAAAGGTTTGATGTAAAAGAGTGAACATGAAGCTACCATTGGAGTGTACTACTGTTGAGGCCATAACCAAATAACATCAATGGCAACACTAAATGTAAGTGGTAGAACAGATCTAAAAAGGTAAACAAAATATGAATTATGGTTCACTTAAGATGTGATAAATGTTTAGCAAATTTGTTCGTGGGAGTAACCTTAATCGTTCAAAATCAGAGTTCAAAATGCAAGGAAATTAAGTTGCAAAAGACAATCAGGTATTCTATTTACACAACATTGTCAACAATAAATACAATTCTCTACGAGCTGCCAGGGCTGCCAGGTGGGCACACCCCTAATCCTCCGCCTCCTCGAGCAGGAGACCCCCTTGCCTACTGCTGCTTTGCGTGCCACATCACTAGTCAGCTCCTCATGCAAGAAGTATGCAACAAATAGATAGATGGTCAGTGAGGTACATTTTCATAGCAACAGAAGCTTAAAATTAACAGAAATAAACACATCAAATGAAGTCACTAAGATACTTAAGTCCACCATGTGAACATCACTAAGATACTTAAGTACACTTACTGTTGAATTACAATTGTAATCTACACTACATTTGAAGTGTAACTAATAGTAGATGCACTAACAGAAGGAAGCAAGCCTAATTAATAGTACTTTACAATAGATAAACATTTGTTGATGCTAAAAAAGAACAAGGCATGTATCATGACATGTCCAGCAAGCCTAATTAATAGTGTCAAACTGTAGCTATAAATAGCACATCAGCAGCAGCATAATACTAATCTAAAACCTTAATTTAAGTTCATGTATCACTATCCCAAAATTAAGAAACATGTCTACTAAAAGCCATGGGTCAGCTATAACTGTCCCAGAATTGTCCAAGGCTTGGCATCTAGCCAAGATGCCGACGAATAAACTCTGCGTCCTTAACTATGTTATCTGCCCTGAAATGCTTCAGATACTCCGCCTGCTCTGCTACAAATGTTATTTGAGAAAGAGATGATGTTGTCAACAGTGTTGACAATCCTGTTCCTCGCTGAAAAGTAAAGAGAATGTCAGCAAAGGAAGAGCAAGGAGTACACATTCATGTCAAATATACATGTGTAAGATACTACAAGCATTCATTGCATATCTATGTGTACTACTATAATTTTACGCCAAGGAGTGCACTAGTACATCAATTACACTAAGCCTCAAACGAGGTTCACCAAAGTTGAAATAGGCTGCATGGCTCGAACGGTCCGCAATCCCTTAGATCTCATAGCTATGGGCCATCACGGATGAACTTAAAAGTAAACTAGTTTTAGCCACAAGCCATGGGTACAAAGAAATATACTAAAATGGCTTGAAGCTAAAACTAATCAACCATTCATCTCTGGTACTGAATTTGTTTCTTCATTGGGACACTGCTACTTGAGCTAGATACGACAGATAAAGCTACTCAACAGGGAAATAATACACTCAATGGTACACTCTGATGTATAGTTGAAACCAAAGGACAAGTCGAATGAAACTGCAACGAAATAGATGATTTCTCTTTTATAGTTAAAACTCACTCAACAGGAAAATAATTGGTATACGACCAAGAAAACTGACAAAATTGATTTGCAACACAGATATTTTCAGATGAATGTATCTTCTCAGCACGGTTTTGATAACGGAATAATGTCAATAGTTGTCGTAATATGTGAAAAATACAAAGCATGGCCCAATTTTTTTGGTGGCACAGACTCCTCCCCTATTCCTCCTAATCCGCACCCTCTTACTTTAGCATCCCAACATTCTTTAAACCTCATCAACCCACATAACTGCAACTCCATTGCCCAACCATCCACATTATAATCTTGTTTAGATAGAAGGCCCCAGGTCCGACACATTTCTAGCTTCACATCATCATGTTGTGTATTAATGTACAATCATATACGAAAGCATGTAATATCACAGGAACCAGACCTTATGATCAGCATGCCCTGGTCCAGCTTCCTCGCCCGCTCCCGGAGGGCATGTTGGCCATGGAACTTGTTCAGCCCACCCTGAATTAATCGAACATGAACAAAAACATGAGCACACAATGGCATCAGCAAGCACAAGTAGAACAAAAGAAAGAGCTGCACGAATTCGCCGAGGGAGATCCGTAGTACCTTCTTCAGGCTCCATTCGGGCGGGTAGTAGAAGTTGCCGGCCCTGCAGAGGAAGATCCGTAGTACCTTCTCCGTAGTACCTTCTTCGGGCTCCATAGATGAAGAGGATCCGTAGTACCTTCTTCGGGTTCCGTAGTACCTTCTCCGTAGTATGGATCTCCCTATCGAAGTTTCCTGCAACCAACCCAAACCAACAGAGAAGAGAAGCATTCATCAGGGAATGGAAGGGAAGGGGATAGATGAAGAGGAAATAGAGAGAGGGGGGTGGACCTTGATGCGGCGGATGCTTCTGCTTTTCCTTGTGCTGGAGGAAGAAGGACCTTGACGAGAACAAGATCCATGGCATCTCGAGCAGAGGAAGCTCCACTCCATGTCGCCTGCCTACAGAGACAAGACGAGACGGGGTCAGAGAGGGAGATAAGAAGAGGAGGAGAAGGAGGGGAGTAGGGATTCGAACGAAGCATTGTCGTCAAGCCGAGCCCTGTGCATGCGCCCTGCTGTCAGCTGCCTTGGCCGGAGGCTAGGGTTTCCGGCGCGGGCAGGGGTCGAGGGAGGGCGGGTCTGACCGCGGGCTGAGAAGCTCCAACGGATCTGCGTCCACGGCAAGACCGGGAGGGGCAACGACGATGGAGTGGAGGCCGGGGTTGGGGGAGACAACGGAGGTCAGCGGCGGCCATGGTGACCT